TTAGGTTTAGGGTTAGGTTTAGGGTTAGGTTTAGGGTTAGGTTTGGGGGGGTTAGGGGAAGGTTTTAGCTTTATTTTTACATTTTTCGATCTTTTTCATTGCGCTGTGATGACGTCACATACGCGCTTTCGTCGACCGCGATTTTGTCGTCCGCGGTTTTGTGGTAAAACCCTTTTAAGTCCTGTGGACTTCAACTCCCAGAACCCCCCAGCCAGCACAGCTGTGCTGGCTGGGGGGTTCTGGGAGTTGAAGTCCACAGGACTTAAAGTCGCCAAGGTTGAGAAACACTGATCTAAGCATTCAGATAACAGCTGAGACCTTTTGTATAGTATTTCCCCAAATGTCTCTTGCTTCTCACACCATAACACCTGAATTATACATTGGCTGGATTCATGTAACACAACAGGCAATAGCAATAGCACTTAGATTTATATACCGGTTTACAGTGCCCCCAACAATCCAGGTCCTCATTTTACCAACCCTCAAAAGGATGGAAGTCTGGATCAACACCTTGAGCCAATGAGAATGGTTTATTATGCATGTTTTATCGAATAAACTACACATAATATACTAAGCCATGGAAGTTACACCTATTGGGTGGCATCAATGATGCCAGAAATATGCAACTCATATTTTGACTTAGCATTGCGAACCCACAATTAAAGTAACAGGATCAAGGCTCACGTGACACGGAGTGGTGGCCTTTTAGTAGCTGCGAGATGCAGGCCTTTCAGCTGGTCTAATTTGCATTTCACTCTTCAGCACACAACTCTTAAAAATTAGTTGTGTTCCCCCCTGCATCACAGTTGTTCACTTTGATAAAGATACAAATACATAATAAAAAAGGAATAACAATTTGGTGCATGCGGATGTGCCCATTTTTCACCTATGAAACTATGCCAGGTCCAACAAAGGATCTCCTTTGTAGCCTTATTTTTTTTTAGCCCAAGGGAAAAGATTACTTCATCAGCTCGGCCAACATTTGCTCCCAATAGAAGACAAAGATAGAACTCATCTCCAGGATCTGACGATGATGGAAACTTCAATGCATTCATTGCAATGCTGCTAGCTATAGCCCATAGCCCTTATCCCAATTTCATTTATTCAGAAAATATATCCAAGAATGCACCAGACTAGACCAATTGCTTTTGCTCCAGCTGCTTCTTCATACCTCTGACATTAAACCGAAGGAGATCATACCTACAGGAATGTTTTAGACTATGGATTTCTTTTTACTGCAAGGACAATGAAATACAAAATGTTCTTCTACATCATAGATGACAATAGCTTTGTGGTCTGGAATGCTATTTAGTAGGAAGAAGAAAAAAAAACATAAAGTGTCCAGTTTAGGTTTCAAACTATGGCTATCATATAAATGAGTTTTTTAGTAGCGATAGAATAACTCAACTGAAATTCCAAAATCCTTCAGTCTGGGAGTCCAACTGGGTAACTAATCTTCATTATATTCTCTTGGCTAATACTACCAGGGCTAAGGCAAGTGTCCCTTCTTTGTAGGAAATGGATAATCGCTATCCCACTACCAGGTTCCCTTGTGAGTAAGAACATCCATTGCAGTCCAAAATGTTGATATTTGTCACACGTGTCTCTTCAAATGCAGAGAGAGGTGATCCGAGCGGGAGAAAGCCCGTTGACAGAGGGGACACTTGAATGGACGCTGTCCGGTGTGTTTACGATAATGGCGAGTCAGCTCATCGGAACGGGCGAATTTCCAACCGCATCCTTCCCATGTGCAGTGGTACGGTTTCTCTCCTGTAAAACAGATAAGTGCCTTGTGCTACTACTGGACCCAAGGAGGGCCATTATTTTAAGTTACACAGTTAACATTCATGCACAGAAGTTTTGAGGAAATAAGCATCCCAAAAAGACAGGATTTCCCACTTCCTCCCTCCCCCAAGCCTCAGGGTAAAGGGTGGGGGGCATGGCATAGTGCAACATCCAAAGCTTAGATCAGTGTTTCTCAACCTTGGTGACTTTTAAGTCCTGTGGACTTCAACTCCCAGAATCCCCCAGCCAGCATAGCTTACATGCTATATTCAAGCACGGGGAATGATTATAATATGGAACTTGTAGTACACAGATTCGCAAGAAATATTTCAGTCGTGAAAGTCTGAAGCTATCACAGAAAGTTGTCTTATTTTATTATGACCAATCTACCAACTTTCCTTTATTATAGGAATTTACCTATAGNCCCAGTCCTGTGGACTTCAACTCCCAGAATCTCCCAGTCCTGTGGACTTCAACTCCCAGAATCCCCCAGCCAGTGGATTAAAACATGAAGAATGGTTCTGCCAATTGGGAATGTCTAGTCAAACTAACAGAAGAACTAGGGGTGACATGATAGCAATGTTCCAATATTTAAGGGGCTACCACAAAGAAGGAGGTAGAAACTTATTCTCCAAAGCACCTGAAAGCAATATAAGAAGTAATATATGGAAACTAACCAAAGACAGATTTGACCTACAACTAACAAGGAATTTCTTGACAGTGAGAACAATGAATTAGAGGAACACTTTTTTTTTCCTAGGAGTTGTTGGTGCACCACCAACACCAACATTTTTAAAGAAGAATTCTGGACAGCCATTTGTCCAGAATGATATAAAGGCTCCTGCTTGACAAGGTAGTTGGACCAGGACACCTCCAACTCTGTTATTCTGAAATGTTAACAATGGTTAACATTTGAAGATTTATGAATACCCAATAAAGAAGAAATTAAGATGAAGACAGAAGAACAATTGGCAACAGAGGGACACTCTTTTCAATGATTTATCTAATAATCAAACCAAAACGTTTTTACCATGGATAGAAAATTTGGGAAAAAAATAAATCTGAAATAGAAAGATGTACAAATTATGATCTTAGCTAAAATGTACAAACTGTGACTAAGATTTGAAATGGGAAGAACAGGTTAAAGATTGGTAAAATGGGCTGCGCATTTTGGTTAGAATATAAATACGGATGCAGGAAAAAATGTGGGGCACTGGCAGTGGTGGGTTTCAAAATTTTTTAGAACCTCTTCTGTAGGTGTGGCCTGCTTTGTGGGAGTGGCTTGCCGGCCATGTGACCAGATGGGAATGGCTTGCCGGCCATGTGACCGAGTGGGAATGGCTTGGCAATCATGTGACAGGATGGGTGTGGCCAACTTGTAAAATGTGGTGAAACTCACTTAATAACGCTCTTGCTTAGCAACCAAAATGTTGGCTCAGGAACTCTGTCATTTGAAGCACGCAAGTCTTAAAGCTGTCAAGTTACAAGACCCTTGCACCCCTAACCCTTTAGAAAAAAAAAACCCAGGAGTGTTCGAACTTGACAGCTTTAAGACTTGTGGACTTCAACTCCCAGAATTCCTCCTCCAGTCATGTTGAAACTCTGGCACTGAAGTGTGCAAGTCTTAAAGCTGTCAAGTTACAAGACCCTTGCACCCCTAACCCTTTAGAAAAAAAAAACCCAGGAGTGTTCAAACTTAACAGCTTTAAGACTTGTGGACTTCAACTCCCAGAATTCCTCCTCTCACTCTTCATCTTGATGATGTGCGGACGGGCAGTGGGGGGGAGAGCTGGAACCGGTTCTGAACGTCACTGTAGATTTGTGGAACCTCTTCTATAGAAGAGGTTAGAAGTGGCAGGAACCCATCCCTGTCACCATACCTTCATGTGATCATGTTCTCCCGCATATTCTATGGATTGGAAGATGCGCCAGGTGCACCTCCGACGCATTTCGAGCCGGGCCACATAGCGTCGATACCACCGCTGTATCAGAATAGCTGCTCTAATGGCTGAGGTACAAAAAGAGAGCAAAGTTGAAAGCATTTGCATCATGAAGCAACCACTATATTTAAAAGGCACAG